CTTCCCTGGTGGCACAGTGGTTGAGAGTCCACCTGCCGATGCAGGGGACACGGGCTCGTGCCCCGGTCCGGGAAGATCCCACATGCCGCGGAGCGGCTGGGCCCGTGATCCATGGCCGCTGAGCCTGTGCGTCCGGAGCCTGTGCTCCGCAACTGGAGAGGCCACAACAGTGAGAGGCCCGCGTACCGCAAAAAGAAAAACAAAAAAAAACAACCAAACAAAAAACAGCAGTCCCCAACCTTTTTGGCACCAGGGACCGGTTTCGTGGAAGACAGTATTTCCACGCAGGGAGGGTGGGGGGTGCAGGTGGGGGGATGGTTGTTCAGGCAGTAATGTGAGCGATGGGGAGCGGCAGATGAAGCTTCCGTCACTTGCCTGCCGCTCAGCTCCTGCTGTGCAGCCGGTTCCTAACAGGACCCGGACTGGTACCGGTGCGCAGACCGGGTGTTGTGGAAAACTGGTTTAAGACAACACAAGGTTATTATATTATAGTTCTGGAAGTCAGAAGTCCAAAATGGGTTAACAGGGCTGCATTCCTTCTGGAGGCTCCAGGGAAGAACCTGTTTCCTTGTCTCTTCCAGCTTCTAGAGGCCACCTTATTCCCTGGCTTAATGCCCCTTCCTGTATCTTCACATCACTCTAAACTCTGCTTTGATCATCCCATATCCTTCTTCTCTCGATATCTCTGACTTTGACACTCCTGCATCCTTCTAGTAAGGACCTTTGTGACTACATCATAGAGTCTATCTGGATAATCCATAATGATCTCCCTGTCTCAAGTGCTATAACTCAATCATATGCAAAGTTCCTTTTGCCATGTAAGGCAACATAGTTAACAGTTTTGGAGATTAGGATGTGAATGTCTTGGGGTGGGAGGCATTCTTCAGCCTTCCACAGTGAATCAATAGATTTTTTTTTAAATGAGAAGTATCATAGTAGTATAAGCTGCCAGGGAAAATATAAAAAGGTGAGTCTAAACTCTGCCTAGAAAATCAAGGAAAAGCTTCACAGAGGGAATGGTGCTTGAGCTGAGTTTGAAGCATATGCAGGAGTTCTAAAGGGACACAGGGAGGCAGCTCTTCTATGTGGAGGAAAGGGCATAACCAAAAGCAGAAGCATGGGGACAGGGGACAGTGGGTTGACAGGACAGAAGCACAGGTTTCAAGTGGAGGGTACAGTGAAAGGGAGAGTGGACTGGAGGGCAGGATCTTACATGCCAAGCTAAGGAGTTTGGAGTTTACTCTGAAGTATGTGGGGAATCATTTGGGAAGCAAGCAGGGATATGAAACGATTACGTTCTAGAACAGCACTATCCAATAGAACTTTCTGCAATGATGCAAATGCTCTCTATCTACACTGTTCAATGGGCAACCATGAGCCGCATGAGCTATTGAGCACTTAAAATGTAGCCAGAGTAACTGAATTTTAAATTTTATTTAATTTTAATTAATTTAAATGTAAATAGCTATATGTGGCTTGTGGCTACCCTATTGGACAATACTGTTCTGGAAGGATGACCTGGAGGAGAGATTGAAGGTGATTTGTAGGTATGGGAGACTAAAGGCAGGGAACCCAGAAGACATCTGCCCAGATGAAAAGCGAACATAACCTAAAATACTGGCAGTAGTGATGACAGTTGGTGGAGACATTAGAGAGGGTTGTCATACTAGGAGTGTTTGATTGATTGAATGTAGGTATAGTCAAGTCTAAGTAGAATCTCAGTATCTCATGTGGGTGGTTGAATAGTGCTATTCACCAGGTTAAAGGAGCAGAGTTTAAATGTTATGATGATAAATTTAATTTAACAGACCTACTTTTAAGCTTCCTATTAAATGGAAACATTCTAAAATAAATATGTCTACAATAAATAAATATGTCTCCGTCTATGAGACGGAGATCTGGGCTGAAGGTATAGGTTTGGAAACTATCAGCACATAGGTGAAGGCTGAGCCCCTGGGTGTGGATGGTTTTACCCAGGAGGAGTAAATAGCCTAGAAAAGCAGAGGATACAAGACAGAACCTCAGGGAGAACGAGCATAGGCTGGGAGGAATGGATTCTTGAGCTATGAGGAAAACTAGGAGAGAGTGGGGTTGTAGACTCCGAAGGAGGAAGAAATCAGGAAGGAAATGATGAGTTTTTCTTACAGAGCTCAGATGCAATAGTGACTGAAAAGTTGTCATGGGATTTGAGACAGGTGACTTAGCAAGAGCAGTTTCAGCAGAGTGGGGATGGAGGTTGATGGGCAATGGAAGCCGGAGGAGTCATGGGTAATTGTGAGGGAAAAGGCAGAGGCACCATGGTAGACCCTAAGCGTTAACTCTTGTCTCAATGAGCTTGACTGAGAGAAAAGGAGAAGGAGACCAGAGGGTAAAGGGGAATACAAAGGTGAAAGATAGGTGAGATTTACTCCCATTTACATGCAGAAGGCAAGAGACTAAAGCTTGGGGGATGCTGAAAATATAGGAGAGAGGAAAAGGGGGATGGATAACGCTGCCAGCTGTCCAAACCAAGCAGTCTATACTTTAGTTTTCCACATGATAAAAGCAAACAAAAACACATAGGTGTAGATTCCATTTTAAAAATTCCATTTGAAAAATATAATTATATGTGCAAAAGTAGTACAGTCTAATGTAAAATGTAAGCTATAATACAGATTTTTATCAGTATGCTTTCCCTGTCAGGCCATCCTTGGTCCACAAATTTAATTAAAGAGCCTCTGGTATTTCTGTCGAAACCTCTGACACATCAGAGAATGACTGATAGAGCAAGGTCTCTGCATCTCAGAGAATTAGCCCCTTGTCATTTGCTGAGCCAAGGCCAGAATGACCTTCTTTCCAGAGGCATCAGAGGTGACTATAGGAGCAAAGTTACAAAAGTATAAAATCATTCCCAACTTGCCCCTCAGGTTTCCCCACTGCTCCACTACCAGCACCCTATACACACACACACACACACACACACTCTCTCTCTCTCTTACACAGACACACGCAAACCCTACTTTACATAAGGATAGCTGTCTTAGTCTGTTCTGGCTACAAAATACCATAGATGGGGCGGCTTATAGATGACAGAAATTGATTTCTCCCAGTTCTGGAGGCTGAAATTGATTTCTCCCAGTTCTGGAGGCTTCCTGATTCATAGATGGTCATCTTCTCACTGTGTACTTACATGGCAGAAGGATCTCTCTGGAGCCTCCTTTATAAGGACACGAATCCCATTGATAAGGGTTCTGCCCTCATGACTAATCACCTCCCTAAGGCTTCCCTTCAAACGCCATCACATTAGGGCTTAGGCTTCAACATATGAATTATGGAGGGGGTGGGAGGGACAAAAACATTCAGCCAATGACAATGGGATAGTTGTGACCTGGGCTCATCTCCCACCTTCACTCTGATAGCCACCAGTAGGTTTAGAGTTGTCTCTAAGAAGTGGCCTCAGTAGAGTCAGGGGGACTGAAAGGAAGAAGAGAAGGGTCAGGAAGAAAAAGAAGATGGAAATACAGAGGTTCCTGCAGGAGAGAGTGTGAAAGTAACACTCATGACACTTGAGGACACCTGGACATTTCATTAGCCATCATAGATTTTGGTCTTGGGAGTGTCAAGCACATACAGAGAGTCAGATTAAGTAATATGGGAAGAGTGACTATAGGCTAGTGCTTTGTAAACTCTCTGAGGAAGAGGAGTGGGGCGGGAAGAAGGAGAGGAGAAAAGGGGAGGGGAGGGGGATAGAGAAGGTGAGGAGAAGGCTGCAGAAAAGGCCAAGGCAACTATGTTCTGCTGCTCCCTGAATTCTTCACATATCCCCATGTCATCAGCCCATAGTCCCAGTCAAATGCTGGGGTTGAAAATCTGTTCAATGCTAATGGCGCTCGAGTGGGAGATTTCTTTCTCTTTCCTGGCACTCCAAACGGTGGCAGCCTGGCCCTGTCTATTCATTAATGCCTGTTAGTCAATACTGAAGGAGATGACAGAGTACTTGCAAATGACACAGCCAACATGTATTCCTGTGTCTCCAAGGAAGGGAGAATTTGCCAAAAACTCAGATCTTTTTCTACGGAAAGCTAAACAATAAAAGAGAAGAAGAAGAAACTGGGAGCTGGAAATTTCAGGTTCATTATCGTTTTCAGATAAGGAATATGTGGTTCACAGATGCTTAATGAATTGCCCAAAGAAACAAACCAGAGACCAGGTCTCCTGACTCCCCAGCATGTTCCCTTTCCACTGCTTCAGAGGCTTTCAGATTCAGTTCCCTGGAGGCATCCTGGAAAAAAGGGTGGAAGGAAGTCCAGTTGAGTGGGCAGACTCTGGTTCCCCCACCCCTTCAACCACATTTAAACATAGTGATTCCTTTTGTCTACCCTACACACACACACACACACACACACACACACACACACACACAGGGCTTCTACATAATATTTCATTTAAAGCAAATTTCTGTTCCTAAAACTAAGTTAAAAAACACTGTGTATACCATACTTCTATTTATGTTTTACATAAAACAAGAAACAGTCCTTGTTCTAAAGACTCATTATCAAATACAGAAGGCTTTTTTCAATATGAGTATGACGTGAAACTGATGAGGGAGTGAACTGAATAGTGAGAGTGGGTGGAAAAAGAGTTAGTGCAGAAAGATTCCCATGCAGCAGGTAGACCTTTCTCTGGAGAGTGTATGACAATGTTTCTCAAACTGTTTTTGTACATTGAAATCACCCAGAGAGCTTGTTAAAGCACACATCTCAGACCCCACGCCAGAGTTTCTGATTCAGAAAGTGTGGGGTGGAGACCAAGAATTTTCACTTCTAACAAGTTCCTAGGTGTTGCCGGTGCTTCTGGTCCAGGGACCGCATTTTGAGAATCACTGGTGTAGAGTAGAGACGGTTGAACAGGAGTAGCTTCTACAGGAGGTCCTCACGATGCTCCCAACTGAACTTTTGGTATAAAGCAAGAACTTCTTTCTGAGGTAGTATTATTCAATTGGTGCAAATAATATCTGGGACTTTTTTTTTTAACATCTTTATTGGAGTATAATTGCTTTACAGTAGTGTGTTGGTTTCTGCTTTATAACAAAGTGAATCAGCTATACATATACATATAGCCCCATATCTCCTCCCTCTTGCATCTCCCTCCCATCCTCCCTATCCCACCCCTCTAGGTGGTCACAAAGCACCAAGCTGATCTCCCTGTGCTATGCGGCTGCTTCCCACTAGCTATCTATTTTACATTTGGTAGTGTATATATGTCCATGCCACTCTCTCACTTCGTCCCAGCTTACCCTTCCCCCTCCCTGTGTCCTCAAGTCCATTCTCTACATTTGTGTCTTTACTCCTGCCCTGCCTTTTTAAGACAAGGAAAGATGCTTATGTTATGATGTTGAATAAAAAAGAATATGATTTCAATGAGAAAAGATAATAGGAAAGAAACTGAAATGTGCTAATTATTTTCCCTGCTGCACAAAGCAGACAGTATTTGATCTCTAGACATTATGTAGATATGGTAGTTGGTGGTTGGTATGGGAATAAATGCTTATATCTATATGTGTATCAGAGGTACTCATCCATTTAAAAACCATTCATAAACATTGGGGTTTGGGGTGGAAATAAATTTCTATTTATATGCATATGAGTGTCGTATGCACTCATTCCTTCCACAAATATTTATAAATGCCTACCAGATGCCAGGCACTGTGCCAGGCACTGGGGAAGAGACACATGTTCATTGCCTGGAGTCCTATGAAAGAAACAGGAAGTGAGATAAGAACTAATAGAAGTTTATGGAAAATTCTGTGGAGAGGGAACCATTTGGTTTGACAGATATTGAGCTCCATTTTGGACAATTTAAGTTTGGGTTTGCAGAACATACAGGGTGAGAGATCAAGTAGGAAGCTGGAAAATGTGTAACTCTTGAGGGAAACCTGGGTTGGAGGTGTAGATTGGAGTCTCTAATTACAGGTATAGATGATTCCTCCATGAACATGAGTGACATATGAGGAAAAGAACACCAGCTAAGTAAGGAGGAGCCGGTAAAGAAGCTTGAGAAGATAATGCATAAAATTAAGGACATTTTAATACTTCCTTTTTAAACAATAGTGATTTATTTGCTTGCTATAAGATTCCTGTAGTAATTTAGTCAGTATACCCTTCAGGAAAGAGATAATATGCTGAACTAGTCATAACATGTCTAATACTTCCTGGTGAGAATCGAACCATACTCAGTATTTTCACGTAAATCATGGTGTCTTATTTAAGTGAGCAAAGGTTTATCCTCACAAACATAATGCTAAAATCCTTATTAATAATTTTTCTAATAGTTTTCTCCTTAAGGCCATTAGCTTTCACTCATTTAGCCATATATACGTGTGTGTGTATATATGTATAGTATTGGTCATGTGCAAAAAATAAGTCAATTTCCATCAGTCTAGGGCGCTAATGGATTTGTAGTGTAATCTCACATGTGCTCATGTGTGTGCATGCACACACACACACACAAACACAATCTTTTACCTTCTTCCTTATTACCTCATCTCTCTTTGTGTGTTTAAGGTACAATTACAATGCTGAGACTGTCACATCTCTAGTTATATTTGTCATGAGCATTTATAATTTTAAGTAAAAATCACTCCTCAGTCTGTGGGTTAATATTCAATTCAATGTACATTTAATAAGCTCTTTTGTCCATGTTGATACAATAGTGGGTTAGAGGACTATTTCTGCACTCACTGAACTTACTGAGCAATAAGTAGCCTTTTTGACAAAAGAAAGTTGGCTTTCCAGTTATTTATGTATACAACAGTATATATATATTTAAAATGTGTAGATGATGTTTTTGTTATTTTGTTATATATATGGTTTCAGGTTGTCATTTTGGTCATTGTGCAGGTTATACATGTGTAATAATGTATTTATAAGAATTTAAGATTTTTAAGGTTTGGGAGTGAAAGATTTGACTACAAAGAAACAACGCAAAGGATTGTTGAGGGTAATGGATCTGTTCTGTATCTTGACTGTGGTAGTGCTTACACAATTCTGCATTTGTCAAAAGTATAGAACTCTACACCCCCAAACTTACTATATGTAAATTTAAAAATAAATTTAAAAATTTAAATGCTGAATCTATAATAGTTGCTACTTTAAAGGATATTGTTTAAAATAAATTCAACTTGTCACTTTACGGTCAAACCACTGATACACACACACACACACACACACACACACACACACACACACACACACACACACACTCTTCTCTTTATAGAACTTCCACACAAGGTTATTTATTTGCTTGTAATCTTACTCCAGGGAAGTTCGGTTGACTTTCCCAAGATACTGTGGAAGGGGGCTGTTCAACACTTTTTGCCTGCGATACCTCAAATTTCTACTTGTTTGTTAAGAGAATTCTCCAGAGACAGATGTATTACAGCACTTTGAGAACAATATTCACACCCACTGATGAAGAGTGAAAAGAAAGAGCTCAGGGTTCAACTCTGGGAAACAATTTAGTGGCTACATGTGTTACTTAGGAACTAACTTGGAGCAGGTACCTGGGAAGAAGCAATTAAAAATGGTGACAAATACCTCCCAGAGTATATGGGGATTAAGACTTGTGCTCAAGTCTTCCATCGCTGCCTCTGTGAACACACTGGACTTCAAGTACACATCTCTTTATCCACTCTATTACCTCATGGCCATTACTTGCGGGTGATAGATGCTGGTGTTCACAGAACAGCGTGCTGATGCATTTTTTCCTGCCATTGTATGTAACATGTTTTCTAATTCTTTTGCTCTATTCAGCATTTGACCCCAACGATAGGGGATTATGGTATTAACTCTCTACCCAGCACACATTCTTTACAGACTCTCACTAAATACTGTAAGCCTGCTGCAGATAGGAATAAAAGTGAAAGCATACCGTCTGCTCTTAAGCTGAGCACACAGAGGGTCGTGATCCAATTGGAAGGGAAGCAGAATTTTTAAAAAGAAAGAGGTTTGACCAAATTTTAATCCTTGTCATTTTCATTTCTCTTACCCTGTGGATTTGGGTGATTTTATTTACACTGTCAGCTTGAGCCTAGGGATTGGAAATCAGGCTTTTATGGAGATTATTAAAAGTACATAGAGTACACTAAAGGTTGGGCTAACTGATATATGCTGCTAAAAATATGAATGTGAATGCCCTGGTATTAGATGCCACTGGCGTACATTTCATCCTCCTTAGAAGGTTATTCTTGGGAGCTGGACCTGCTGCAATGGTAATGAGATGCAGGCTGTCAGGGTATTTCTAATAGGTAGTGAATGACCAGGGATGGAGACGAATTAGCATTACTCAGATGAGAAGGTAGCTCTTTATACCATTAATTCCAATGCAAAGTAATTCCACCTCCGTCTCCTAAAAGAGAGGGTATTGTAAATTGGGGGCCAGGGGTGGGGATAGGAGGAGGGCAGGGTTAAAGCTTCAAGGATTTATTGATGGCTTGGATGGGCTGCGATGTCACCCAAGTCTCTAGGCTGGGTTTTTTTGGCCTGAGCTTCTCTAGTGACTAGACGCATGACTAGTGACTTGGTTAGGTAATGTTATATAGGCCTAGATGACAAAGATAAAGCTCTAGACCTCAGTCACAGTCTTTAAGATCTCAGCAGATAAAAATGAAATGGTTTACTCAATCTCAAAATACTAGGAGCATTCATGCTTTGACAAAGCAGGTTTAGGATCTCAAAGACATGGAAATACCATGTTACAAAGTAGTTGACTATACAAGACTGGTGTCCTTGCAAGGTTATAGATTATGATAATCTTAACAGGCTTAAGAGGGTTTTAGATAGATGCATGGGTCACAGCTTTATGCTGGTCCACCATGAGAAAATGAGGTATTTTAGGGACTTATTTCCAATGATGAGGGCCAATAGCATCCCCAGGCCTGCTGCCTAACCTCCTTGGGTGTCACTGATAGATCAAGAGTCACTGCTATGCTGCAGCTTTGAAGTGTGATCCACACCTAGAAATGGGGAGGAAAGAAAATGGCTGGAAACAATTGACCATGTGTTTATCTCACCTGGTGCTCACGAGTCCCAAGACCTGGACCATGATGTTGAGTTTATGAACTGAGGTTTGTATCTCTTTGTCATGTACTAGATGCCTATGTATTAAAATGTACTATCCAGGCCGCAGAAAAGGGACCACTGTAAAAGGTGGACCTTCAGTGCCTTCATTGCCTGAAACCTTAGCTCTGGACAACTTGTCCCAACTCTCTTACATTCTACATCCTAACTTGTTCCTTATCCTCTCAGCTTCACATCTGGTGATTTATTTTCCATTTTACAGCCTTACCCACTCACGCCCAAAACCAGCCACCCTCTGACTAAAATGTTTATTTCCCTCTTAAACTTTGATCCCAATTCCTGCTGTGATGGTACTGCCCTCATGCATGCTGAGTAAACAGCCCCACCTGCCCACATGGACCGCTCTAATCAGTGTGCATGCATCTCCCAAGAGAGGCTCGCCCTCCAGGTGTCCCGCAGTCCCCAGGTAAGATCTGTTTGAGGACATTGAGTCAACTGCTACCAGAAAGAAGTAAGATATGTCCTTTAGTGTGATGGCATACAAACTGCTATGACTCTGACTCCTACCAGCCCAATCCTCCCTCATTAACTGTCCTTTGAAAACATAAACGAACATGTTATGCTATTTATATGTTTTTTCAAATCAGGTTTCACACGTTTTATTTACTGGATTTGCGTAAGTCAGGAAGGATAGATATGAGTTCTCTCTTTAGTACAACAGTACTAGTGGCATCATGACAAGTCCAGTGTCCTGGCCCATATTACATAGCAAGTGAATTACAGAGCTTAACGCACTTGGTCATTGCTTCATCTGCTACCTATGTTCCCTTGGACTGAGATCCTCCGGAAAACAGGGATCAAATCCATGTGGTCCCTCTCTATGAAAATTAACAAATAAATTAGACGATAGGATGATAAAATCGATGCTGATGAGAGTGATAAATATGCTTTTCATTTCTAACTGTATAAATCAATTTATTTTCCTGATTTTCATATCTGCATGCCTTTGCACTGTTTCCTCTACTTAGAATGCCCTAGAGCAGCGGTCCCCAACATTTTTGGCACCAGGGACCGGTTTTGTGGAGGACAATTTTTCCACAGATGGGGAGGTATGGTTCAGGTGGTAATGTGAGCAATGGGGAGCGATGGGGAGCTGCAGATGAAGCCTCGTCCACTTGCCTGCCGCTCACCTCCTGCTGTGCAGCCGAGTTCCTAACAGGCTGCGCACTGGTACCAGTCCATGGCCTGGGGATTGGGGACCCCTGCCCTAGAGATTGTGAAGTAAGTCAGACAGGGAAAGACAAATAGCATATGATATCAGTCATACGTGGAATCTAATTTAAAAATGATACAAATGAACTTATTTACGAAACAGAAATAGAGTTACAGATGTAGAAAACAAACTTATGGTTACCAGGGGAAAGTAGGGGGAGGGATAAACTGGAAGATTGGGATTGACATATACACACTACTACATATAAAATAGATAACTAATAAGGACCTACTGTATACCACAGGGAACTCTACTCAATACTGTGTAATGGCCTATATGGAAAAGAATCTCAAAAAGAGTGGATATATGTGTATGTATAACTGATTCACTTTGCTGTACAGCAGAAACTAACACAACATTGTAAATCAACTATACTGCAATGAAATTTTTTAAAAAAAGGTAGTCCCTTTACACTCACTTTACAGCACTAAAGTTAATAACATCATAACAATATATTAATAATGTATAATAGTATAATAGACAATAATATATATGCTATATATAAAAAAGAAAGAATGCCTTCCACCTGCCTTATTTGACTAGAAAATCTCTCTTCATCTTTTAGAACCTGACACCTGTGTAACCTCCTCTCTGAGATCTGCACCTATCACTGCCCCTCCCCACCTCCAAACAGAATTAACTATGTTATAAGCTGTTACACTTAGGATATAATTCTTTATGTCAGTTTTGTTTATCTGTATGTTTTTCCCATCAGGTTATGGACAAGGCCAGCCTCAATTTCATAGTCCTTTTTGCACTCCAGTTTCTGCCATGGTGCCCAATAAGTTACAGATAGTAAAAAAGGATTTTTGGAACCAAATGTTATGAAAATGATGGTGATGAAGATGATCAGGCAGGAGGACGATTTCACTCCTTTCAAGAGAAATAAAGAGCTTTTCCAGCTTTATGAACTAGTCTTCCATTTAGAATAGTATATTAGTCAAGAAAATCAATGCAGGCTGCTATAAAAAGCAATTTCCAGATAGAAGTACTATTGCCCAATACAAAGCTATTATTTACTCGTGAGCATCTGGTGTTGCTTGGGCATCTTCCATTGTGTAGCCCTTCCATCTTAGAATTCTTTGCTTCCAGCTATTTAGATGGGAGAAAATGTAAAGAAGACACATGAGATTTTAACACACTTGGCCTCAAAATAACAGTCATCACTTCTGTTCCTGTTCCATTGGCTGGAGCTTGGGAATCACATAGCCCATCTAACTTCAGAGTGACCCAGGAAATGTAATCTTCCTGCATGTCCAAGAAGAGACTCCAAAATTGTGAAGACTCCAAAAGTTTCTTGCAATAGTCTAAACTTCTGGACACCAAATATCTATTTTACTTTCCTCTCACTCACAGAGCATGCCTCACCTCACCCCATGGAGGACAATGTAAGGTCTCATCCAGTCACCACCACCATATCAATGTTCAGAACACCCGGGGAACGCAGCATCTTCTCCATCAGTCTTATGTAGGATCTCTAGGTGTAGTAGCCTACATATTAAAAAGACAGGTAATCTGTACCCTACTTCCTCACCAATCACAACCCATTTATAACGGAAAAAAGAACAGGAAAATAATCCTGTTTGCAAAGGGAAATAATAGGTAACACTCAGCATGATTGTCCACAGCCACGCTGAGCCCCTCTGGGTCAGCACTGTGAAGCCCACACCTTCTAGGCAGGGTGGACGTGTGTGAAGTTGGCTCTAAGAAGGACTCCATTTTTTGTTCTTCTTCTTGGCCACATATGAAGTGGGCTTGGTGGTGGGGGGGCTACCCTTCCTTCAGAACAGTGCACCTCTAAATGTTTGACTTCCGCTCAGTCTGGAATGGGTTGGCAACTCGAGAATTGTTTTAAGCCTTGAGCAGGGAAAGACGTTTCAAGTCCAGGCCCCTGGTTTCTTTGGCAATGCAATTTTAAAAATTAGAAGACATATGATATATTTGCTTCCA